CACAAGGCACCATTTTAAGTATTGGAAATATAGCGAGTCAGTCCCTGCTCTGAAAGAGATCACATTGTAATGGAAGAGACAGCCCACATAGAAGGATTGAGCACAAAAATATGGATAGCACCATTTTTTTTGGTACTAAAAAAAATGGAAAATCATTAGTGGCTTTTCATTTTAGAATGGCTGAACAAACTGTGATATATGGACATATCATTAATGTACCATATGCAAAAAAATGAGCAATTCAAAGAAATATGTAGAATGACTTGTTTGCAGAGTGAAGTAAGCATAAGTAGAACAATACACAAAATAACTACAATACCGTAAATGAAAAGAACACTAAAATGAAGCTACATAATTATGACCTATTGTTAGCTACTGAGAAGAGATAAGGAAATGTCTTCCTTCTTTTGGTAGAGAGGTGTGAGAGGTGTGGGGCTATGAGCTTGGAATGTTGCACATATATCAAGTGTGGCTCCTTTTTTGGTTCATTTTACTTAACTGATTATTGTTGTTACTGTTCCAGCATTTCTCATGGCTATACCCTTCTTTCTACTCACACCCACAATCACCCTAGTTTTAGTCTTTATCATATTGGCTTGTACTGTTGCACTGGCCTTCCAATTAATCTTTTGTGCATCCATTCCTTTCTAATCTATCCTTTACCAGATTAATTTACTTAAGAACATGCAATATCATCACATCCTTCCCTCTCTCAAGAATCCTCAGTGGCTCTCTTTTCACTTGAGGATACAATATAAAGTCCTCTGCTGACATTTAAAACCCTTTCAAATATTGTTCTGGCCTACCTTTCTAGGTTTGCACCCCATCCCACCTCTCTCTCTCTCTCTCTCTCTTTCCCTCCCTCCTTCTCTGCCTTACTGAAATATTTGCTATTGTAAATACATGATATTTCCATATCCTACCTGGTACATAGTATGTGCTTAGTCAATGTTTGTTGGTTGACTGATTGACAGTCCACTTTGGAGGTGGGAGGGAAAAGATTACCCACATCAGTGAGATCACTTCGTAGATCCATTGAAATAAATTAAAATATATTTTACCTTATTTCAGTGAAATAAGTTGATGACAGAGATCATTTACATAGTGACATCTTCCATTTTCTAGTTTTTATGTCCCCAGTTAGTAAGTTGACTGGTCAAAGCCATGGAAAGATTGATGTAAATATCCTCTATTTATAATTGGTATTACAAAGTAATTAACATACAATTAGATAATTAAATTAATTTTATTTCATTAAGATTGAAATATACGGGCCGCACGCCGGCCTTCTGCCAGTCGTGCGCCAGTACCCACTTCTCTTAAAAGAAGAGCACTGCCAGAGTCTTACCCATGCCTGGGTCCTCGGTCCTCAGCCGGATCACCACACAGAGACAAGCCATCGGAAGGCACCAACACCAGAGTTTTATTCAGAGGCCAACACAGCAAACCATCATAGCAAGCCCAAGCAGCAAGGCCAGAGCAACAAGGCAGGAGCCAGGGGAGCGCGCACGTGTGTGTTCTGACCACGCTTGTTCCTAAGTACCTACTTAGCCCCTCCTCCCCAGCCCGCTACTAGCCAATGATTGTAGGGTCAGATACCGGAAGGGGCTGTCCGAGTTTAGCACACCAAGGGGGAGGGAGTGACGTAGGAGGCCAGGATTGGATACAGGAAGGAGGCATCTGGGATTGACGCATAGACAAGAGTACGTGACCTAGGAAGTCAGACTCAGGAGGGGACTGGGTCAGTGCTGCACAAGGTCAGGAAGGTCACAAGAGGCATCTGGGGATGACGTTGCATATAGGGAGGGGACTAAGCAGAGGGAGCTCAGTCCTCTGCCATCCCACTCCCACGTGGCACCGCCCCTTGCCTCAGGAGTTCAGGCTCGGCTACTTCCTTGCACCCAGCTTATCTCATAGCATTGCCCAGTTGCCTCATGGCTTCTCCGAATCCAGCCCATTCCAGTACACACGACTCTGTCTACCACAGTCCCTGCCTCGACTTCCAAAATACCCAGATCTTACCTTACCCATGCCACAGTACCCGACTGGCAGCTGCCAACATCAGACAGTCCCTCACATTGAAATATTGTAATTCACTAAAGTCTACTCTCAGAGATAATTGAAAAACAATTCTTAAAGTTGTTTCGACACACTACACCATGTGGCTGGAGGTTATCACCATATAAAATTAGTTTTGTGGGTTTGCTTGGTCATGAATCAGAGTATAGGTTTATTGAAAACTTAGGCAAGTTATTTTACCCAAACCTGGCAGTTTGTTAGGATAAATTATGTCTTAAAAGCCTGTCTCCCTAACCCAGAATCATGGGCATTGAACTTTCTTGAGAAGAGCCTGATTTGCCCTTACTTAGCAATAGTATAGTAATACAACCAAGGCTTATCCTTTTCAGCAAGCATGTACCATGCATCTACCATGAAGGGAGCAGAACCAGGAGAATAATTTATTAAAATAAATGTTGAATGATAAACAACTTTGAAAGACATAAGCTTTCTGGTCAAAGCAATGTCCAGCTAAGATTGCATGATGAAGCATGCTACCCATCTCCTGATAGCGAGGGGATAGAACTCATATTTTGTTGGATATGGCCAATGTAAGAATTTATTTTGCTTGCTATGCACATTTGTTATAGGCTTTTTGTTTAGAGTTTTTCTAATAATTAAAGGAAAGTAATAAGGAGACAAAATAAACTTTTGATCATTGAAAAGAATAAAGTGTTTTAAAAAAGCATCTACTATGTACATGGTATAGTGTTAGATGCTAAGGACACAAAAACAAACAAAAAAAGAAAAATAGTTGTGGCTCTCAAGAAGGATGTAGTCTACCAGAGCACTGATAGCTGAATTTTTAGTGGTAGTGATATTATATTTCTTTTCAAAGATGTTCATCAGAAATGAATTTTCAGAAAAGAGGAAAACTAATTCAGAAAAAAAGGGCAATAACAACACTTTAGCACTCCAAAAACTTATTACTAAAAGTCATTTCTACCACCTCTCACCATGAATTACCTTTTTTGCAGCTTTCCTCTGGTCAGAAGGACACGGTGAATGATCTTCAAGTGTGTTCAATTAAAGTAGACTCTTAATATAATAAAGCTGGGAGGAACTTTAAAGATCATCTAATGCAATCCTATCATTTTACAGATCCATAAATGGTACCAAGAAAGGGTTTGTGACTAAACCAGCATTTCAGAGACCAGTTTTGGTTAACATATCATGTAAATAGAATTTTCTCCCTACAGTAGTTGATATCTTTTATCAACATTCTTTTATCTTTTAAGCACTTCAGTGGGGAAAAGTGTATATGTCTATTAAAAGAAGAAACAGGGGCAGCTAGGTGGTGCAGTGGATAGAGCACTGACTGTGGAGTCAGGAACACCTGAGTTCGAATCTGGTCTCAGACACATAATACTTCCTAGATGTGTGACTCTGGGCAAGTCATTTAGCCCCAATTGCCTTACCAAAAGAAGAAACAGTAGTTCTTATTTTATTCTAGCTATTTTCTAGAACATTTTCTTGACTGGAAACTAATTAGCTGGAGGTCAAAACTAGTAATAAACTGAGAGATGTTTTGCTTGAGAGATGTTTTGCTTGTTCGATGTGTTTTTAGCAACTCAAAAAAAAAAGGACGTGATGACTTGTTTTTTTTGCTTAGCTCTTGAGATCCCCCTTCTTCTTCTTAATCTGTCTCTAGAAAATTGTCTGTCTCTTGAAGAATTCTAGGACATTTAATAATAGCTAATAATAGCTAACATTTATATAATACTTACTATGTGTCAGACACTGTGCTAAGCACTTTACATTATTATTTCCTATAATCCTTACAACAACCCTGAGGGGTAGGTGCAATTGTTATCTCCCTTTTACAGATGAGGAAACTGAGGCAAACAGATTAAGTGACTTGCCCAGAATTTTATCAAAGTCCTATCAAAAAAATTTAAAAGAGGTTTATCTTACATTGATTCAAGAATCATATGATGATTTTAAAAGGTATTTGGAATATCCTTCCATTAATGCTAGGATTTTTTAACTATTCTATTTATAAGGTTAGAGTTTGTTTTTAGAACAGTAGGAACTTAGACTTTGAACATTTGGCTTTTAAAATTATAATAAGAAAATATTTGTACAGTGATCCACTTTGTAATACATTTTATTGATTCCTTTTGTTTTTTTTTTTGTCACAGTCATTTCCAAATAAACTCCCTTTCCTCATCTAAAATTGAACTCCTGGTAAGGAAGAAAAACTGTTAAGCAAAACCATCTGATATATTGACTGTGTCTGACAATGTATGTCACATTCTGTATCCCTTGCCCCTTACCTCAGTGACAAGAAGAGGGAAGTATGTTTCAGCATCTGTCCTTTGGGCCTGAAATTACACATTAGAATTACTCAGGGTACATGATCATAGTTACTGTGTATGTTTTCCTCCTGGCTTTGCTTTTAGCATTCTACACCAATTCATTTAAGTCTTTCCATGTTTCTCTGTATTCCTCATATTTCTCGTTTCTTTCTGCACGATAATGTTGTACTACATTGAGATCTATTTTAACAGCACAGAATGGTTTGTGGATTAAAATGAGCACATTAATTATCATGCTCAGAAACCTAGTGTTTTCATTGTTATTGTCATCTATAGATATTTTTTGTATGTATGCTTATATTTTTAACATTCTTTGTGGTGCAGTAATTCCCTTAGCATAATATTTTCAATGATGGGGGAAAAAAGAAACATGGATTTGTAGGGGAAATTATACTAAGGTATTTCTTATGTATACCAACGTGATTTTTGTAATTTGAATGAGTTTCTCATTGATCTCTAGTGTTTCAGTTCCATAATGTTGATTTCAGCAACTTTTTTTTTAAATTAGGTGTTTCAGATGCTTAAGAACTATTGCTTATTTTTACAACCAGCATAGCATTTTAAACTCTGCCTTAGTTGTAATTGTATTTTTCCTTTTGTTGGTTTTTTTTTACTTTCCCCCAGAAAAGAGGCACAGTTAGATGAAGAAGGGCAGTTTCTTGTCAGAATAATATATGATGATTCTAAAACGTATGATCTGGTTGCTGCAGCCAGCAAAGTTCTCAGTAAGTACACATCAGTTCTTTTCATCTTTTTAACCTGCCTCCTCACCTGGGACATTTGGGGAGAAATGTTCTTATTATTTCCTTCTTTAAGCCCGTTAGTTCATGGTCACTAAGGAAAATAAGGATTGACAAAAATTTACTAAGTGTCTTTTATCTGCAGGACACTGTGCTAGGCACTAGAGGTACCAGATGAAAAAGATACTTCCCCGTCCTTAAGAAGCTTAAAGTCTACCCGGGGGTTATGACATTAAAAAACAACAACAACAGTACAATACAGGTAGTGCGTGATAGTAACAAAGGAAGGACATAGACAAAAGGTAGGATGGAATGGAGTTGTAGGGGGTCTTAAAAGACAAGCAGAAATATTTACATTTTATTCTAGGGATGATAGAAAGCCATTGGAGTTGGTTGAGTAGGAAGGACATGTGGTCATATTTACATTCAATAAAAATTACTTTGCTATCAGTATGTAGAATGAACTAGAATGGTGAGCAAGGAGTCCAGTTAGGAAACTGTTGTAATAATCTAAGCGAGAAATGATGAGGCCCTGAATTGAAATGGTACCTCTGTGAGTGGAGCGACGTAAAATACAACTAATTTCATGAATCTAGAAACAACAAGATTTTTCAAATGATTGGGCATGTGGGATGAAGGAAAATCAGTAGTTGAAGAAAACGCTGAAATAACACACCTGGAAGGATATTGGTGCCTTTGACAAAAATGGGGAAGTTTAGAAAGATAATGACATTCAATATGTTTAAATGATAGCCAGTTTGAAATTTCCCACAGGCAGTGGATGATATAGGACTAAAACTTGTGGGAAGAGACTGGGACTGAATATGTAGATCTGGGAATAATCTGCATATAGGTGATAGTTAAACCCTTGGGAGCTAATCAGATCACCAATAGAGTGTAGAGATAGAAGAGAAGAAGGTGGAGAGAAGAACCCTGGGGAACCACCCACAGTTAGAGGGAGTAATGTAGACTTCATATTTTACTCAAGTTCAATAATGAAAGATTTTTTTAAAAAAACTAAATCATTTTCTTATATTCTAACTTCATAGAAGGAGATGGATAAGAAAGAGATAGTAATACTGAGGGAAAATATGACCAAGTAGAGTCAGACCAAGAAAAAATAAGAAAGTCTCAGGAGGAAAAGAGAGCTCCTAGTGGCCCAAAATGAAATCCAAACAAGCCTGATTTACAATCAGATTGTACTTTAGAAGAGGGAGAAGGTAGCTCAATAATTTTCCAATCGAACCAGGAAGTCAAATAAATTTATAGAAAAAAGTCAGGTGTTCTTAAATTCAGTGATTCCTCTGGTTATTAAGAGTAGTTCAAATGGCAGACAGACTTCAAAATAGAAAGGCTCTTTAAGCAAGTCATGTAAAATGGTATTTCCCCAAACAATCAACAAACATTCATTCTGATTTTACTCCTTTTAAATGAAATAAATTCAATGTTAAAATAACTTATCAATTAGCAAAAAACAAAATGAGCCTTAGAAAACTTTGATGGGACAAATGAATTAGAAATGTACTATATGAGTACAAAATCATCTGATATGTGTGTATTGTGTTGAAGAAAAAAAATATTGCAAGCTTTCTCTTTTGGTTTTCTTGTGTGACAAACTTGTATTAAAGTCATCTACAGAAATATTGAAGACATGTTAGTTCATTTTAGTAATAATTATTTATAAGGAAAATTCCCCACATCAAGTTCTCAAGTAATCAGACTTTTTTTCTCTAAACTTTTATACAGATCTCAATGCAGGAGAAATCCTCCAAATGTTTGGGAAAATGTTTTTTGTGTTTTGCCAAGAGTCCGGTTATGATACCATCCTCCGTGTTCTGGGCTCAAATGTCAGAGAATTTCTACAGGTAAGAAATATGTCTCTTATTTGTGTTGTGTTAGTTAACTCTTGATTGAAGGAAGATCAGACTTTTTTCCCCTCTCAGTCTACTCGATTAGCCGGAAAAATCAAGGCTGTCTCATTAATATCATCTCTGCAGGTTTTTTTTAGCAAATGGAAGGCTGGGAAAAAAATGGAAGAGGGAGCTATTTCTGGGTGGAGTGGGCTATTTTAAGCTTCCTATTTGTGAGAGAGACCCTCTTCTGGAAATGTGTTAGCTTTGAAAGTGATGTTCTTGTTTACAACTGGTATTTCTGATCTGGCTGCTGCAATGTCTTGCTGGAAAGTAATGTCGATGTGTAACACCAACAGAGCTAAAGCCCAGCTTAAGAGAATGTAAACTAGTTCCCATCCAGCTGCATTACTGATTTAACAACCACAGTAAGAACCCCAGTGTTTAATCAAAATGGCTGGTGTTTACATAGTAACATTTTTCCCCCCCCCGCTGAACTTAAAACAGTATTAAATCAAGATAGAAACTGGTTTGCCCTTACCTCCGTGGATTTGCCAGAGTACTGGTGTCAGGAAAGCTCTGCTTCTTCATGAAGTAACTGTTTGCAAAATGTAAATTGAAATTAAACATGCTGTATTCAAATGGGTTTGTTTGGAGTTTTAGTCTCTGGTCTTATTTTTGGATTTTGAGTAAATAGTCTGTGTCTTGGTTGTGCGGTTATATACTCTATTATACTGTCCTTAGACTAATGTTATCCCTCTTGCCAAGGTGACAGCTTTAATTGTCCTCTAAGTCATCACAGCCCTTACAGTGCTTGCACCTAGAACTCTGACACGTTTGCCTTGTCTACATAATCACAGAGTATCTAGTTGCATTGTGTTATTTGTTACAGGATTCCTTGTGGTTGCCTTCATGTAATAAAACAGTGAGAGAGTACACAGTCATGAAGGGTGTGTTTGTTTATTTTCAATTGAAATAATGCTGTTTTTTTATCCCCCAACCAATAAAATCTTTATTTAAAAAGTTAAGCATAAACATTAACAAATAATAATGCTCTATTTAAATAGTTTTTTTATAGACTACAGTATTAAAGCAAAAAATACCCATAGGAAGGGAAAATGTGGTACTTTTCTCATCAATATTTATTTATCATAAATAACTGCCTTGTATAATGATTAGTTTTCTTGAGGGGTAGATTTATATAAAGTATCGAAGTGTTGAAGTAGGTCCTCTAATAGAAATTCTCAAAGCATTGGCAAATAACATTTTCAAATTAAATAGAATGACTTTCAGGAATGGAGGGGAATAAGATTTTGTAGATAATTTGTTTTCCAGTGAATTATGGTGATTTAACCCCTCTCCTACCAACTGTTAGCTTTGTAGGGCACCTTATGGGTCATCAAATTCAGTCCCTTCATTTTACAGATGAGGAAACCGAGGTCCAGAGAAGTGAGCAGATCTGCCCAAGTACGAGTAAATTGCAGAGCTAAGACTTAGACCTATGTCTCCTAATTTCTAACCATATTCTTTTTTACTATGCCTGGCATTTTTACTAAATTATGCATCGTTGTCCCACAACAGTTTTCTGTGCTCTTAATAGCTTCTCTACCTTACAAACACATTTAAATATATGCAAATGCTGTTTCCTTTTTGGGTGGCATCCAGGAGGAAAAAGAGTGAGTACATCTGGTATCATAGGATTCATATTAGTCTCTGAATCCTGGCACTTAAAATGCTTGTGTGAGCTTAGGCTAGTTTCTGCACAGATGAGTTCCCTCATCACCAATATGTTGAGGTTGAACTAGATCTCACTAAGTAACATTCCATCCTTAATCTGTGCTCTTAAGTGGACTGATATACTCATGTTAGCAGCCTGTATTTACCACTTTAAGGCAGGACAGTGGTCATGCAGTACAAGTGTGACTTTAAAGTAATCAGGACAATTCTCATGTGTGGTTTGTAGAACCAGGTTCATTCTGTTAGAGTCACACCTCGTAAGTGAATATTGACATTTTCAGAAATACTAAAAATCATGAAACTGATTTTTGCAGTCCTTGATGTTCTACTTTGTCACCCTTGAGGACTTAGAAAGGATATTTTAGACTGAACACTTAGAGCAGCCACAAATTGCCCAGACCAGGATTGTTGCCAAATTTAATTTCTTTTGCAAGGTATATTTTAAACATTCTCCACTGAAGTCTAACTCCAGTGCTTCATCATGGCGTAGAGATAGGCCAGGGTGCTGGAAAACTATTTCAGTGGAGTACGCAGTCTGGAAAAGTCCTACCTAGTTAGAAAAGCTTCGCGTAGACCCACAAAACTGACTCTACAACCATACAATTTTTTGGCCACAGCAACCTATGCTATTAAGACAGTGCTGCAGTCTGTGTTGTTATGATGAAATTCATAGATCCTTGAAGTGTTGAAATATAAATATCTTAAAACTCAGGTGCTTTTTGAAAGGAAGATTTGAATTGAGAGTCAGTGAGAGACTAAGGAGCTAGCCTTGGAATCAGGAATACCTGGATTTGAGTTGTACCTCTGAAACACAGCAGCTGGGTGACCCTGGGCATATTCCTTAACCTTTCAGTGTCCCAGGCAAGAATAAGTTGGAGAAAAAATTTGAAGAATTCATTAAGCCAATGAAATCTCACACAACACACACACACACACACACACACACACACACATGATTGGCAAGACTTAGCATCTGATAGGATATGACAGGTATGGGACAGTGGAGCATTTGGAAACTTGCTTGACTGGAAGGATCCTGCTATAGAAAGAAAAAGGGGAGTTAGAAAGAGTAGTGGATTGGGGGCAGGGGAGTATAATGAGTTCTGTTTGAGCACAATAATGATAAGAATAACAATAATAAATGAATTAGCATTTGGATAGCACTTTAAGGTCTAGAATGCCTGACATGATAGCTCAGCTTATCTCACAACTATACTGTGAGGTATGGACTGCAGATATTTTTATCTCCATTGTATAGAGGCAGCTGAGGGTCAAAAAGGTGAACTGACTTGTAGCTTTTAACATAGCTTTTAAATGTTGGATATGGGATTCTAATCCAAGTATCTCCAGACTTCACGTCAGTATAGTTGAAGACTTGGTTTTTGCAGATGTTTTTTAGACTCTTAATATCATGTATTTTTTCGTACTTATTAAAAAAATAGTGGATGTACAGAAGAAACTAAACAACCTAATTACGATTTTTGAGGTATAAAGCCATTTACAAATTATACAGAACTAATTCTTTTCATTCCATTGAACTTTCTGTCCAGTTTATATTATGTCCACTGACTTCAGCAATCAAGAGAATGAGATTTGGCTCTTGGGAAAGAGGAACCACAATTTTTGAAGATTTTGTTTTTGGCTTTTGAATGGCATGTATTTTATCTAGGTATGCTATGTTGTAGAAAAGTCTGTAATTCAACAAGAACTCTTCCATACTGCCAAATTTCTTCTTAAATTAGAAAAAAATGAAGCAGCCATGTTGTTGCTATGTCGAACTGCTGTTTGAAACCTCCGTTGTATTGATGCAAATGCCAGAGAGAAAAGTCGGAAAGCTGATACAGAGAAAAGACAGCTGGTCAGGAAGGTCTAAAATGATAGTGACCCTCGTGTGTCTCAAGCCATGTCTCAACCAGACGGATGTTTTCCTCTTATCTTTTATTAACCCCATCCGTCTTCTTTTTTTTATTTCTGCAAATTAGGCAAGGAATTAAAATGTTTGAATTGAATAATAGTGTAAGACACCTGGGAATTGTATTTTTTATAATCCCAAAAAGGACCTTCCACATTCTTCCTCATAGCACTGCAGGCTTCTAGAACCTTCTAGTGAGACTCTAGTTTGATTCAGGACCCCGGGGATATTTTAGGCCTTGCCTTGGAGGCTCTTTGATTCCTGCATACGACTCTCCTACTCCCAATTCATCATAATTTTTTATGTCAAAAAATATAAAAGAAGTCACTCCCAGAGTGGTATCCAAGGGATGCTGAATATACTCTGATCCCCACCTAAGTGAAGAAAATATGGTTCCCATGGTCCCCTAGATATCTATACCTATGGCCATTCCAAGGGAAATGCAGGGCCAGAACAAATCCCATGATAAGCAGCTTACCCCTCTCCTCCTCTTAGTGTTTTAATGCAGTTCAGATAAAATAATATGGGCAAGTAATACTTGCTTTGAAGGGTAAAAGAGTCTCTGAAGGGCCACGTATAGTTTGAGTAGGAAGTGTTGGGAAAAAGAGAAGAATTCCTTCCTGGTTTAAGTTGAATCCTGGGGACGTTTTTCTCTCAGACGGCCTCTGGCAACCTCACCATCCTTTTCAGCCAATTTTAATGTGAAAGTGTGATTTGGCCAGGCCTACCAGGAGCTGTCTAGAATTGATGACCTATGTCAGATACAATGCCTAAGTGTTCATGAGAAGTGCTATTTTGGGAAATATGGTCATTTTCCCAAACAGCTGTACAAATCTGTTACTTTGGATTACTTATGTTTCTTAGAAAAATGCAACATTCCCTTACTTTTAACTCCTGAACCTCAAAGGAAACTGCTTTCTCATGACACAGAAAGGCTGCCTTCAAACCCCGGAGTACATGAAGGGCAGGAGGAAGTTTAGTCATTGAGAGTGCAGGAAAAGGAAATAATAAACAACACCAGCAGAGATCAGTAGCACATGACACACTTCTTCTCCTCTCTGAACAACTGCCCTATGTTTTTCAAGTCTTAAATAGTGTTGAGGGCCTTGATTCATTATCGGGCCTGATGAATGTCATCTAGGTTGTTTGAATCTTTTTTTTCTTTTTAATTTGTTTATGTTTTTAAAGGTTGCCTGGGTGACTGTGAAAACACAATGAAATCATCCCTTCCCCCACCCTTCACCCTTTGTATTCCTGAAAAGAATAGCTCGCCCTTAAATGTATGACATGGGTCTATAATGATTTTCTTTTCCCTTTAATTAAACTGGCTTTACAGGAGAAAATGATTACAATGCCTTAGAAACAC